CTCGATTGTCCTCATTATTCAAGTCAATCGACCCACAATCGACCAGTTGTTTAGTCGTTTCATAATAGTTTTCATAATTTCAGTGGGAGAATCGACTGATCCTTGAGTCGTTTATTAGTCGATCAACTTCATATTATTTACTCACATGAAACGACTGAACAACTGGTCGATTGTGGGTCGATTGATGTGAATAATATGCGGGCAATCGCGTCACGATCGACTTTCTTCAAGTCGATCCTGGTCCGACCGTAAGGAATCTTTCATAATCGACCACCCCATGAGTCGTTCAAGCTTTGGTGCAATAAATTTTTTGTCATTCCGGCCGTGAGGCAGCGCTTCACGGACGCTCCGCTCCTCTCCGCGTCCGTGAATCTCTGCCTACGGCCGTCATAACAAAAAATACTGTTCGTCATATGGCCAAAAAAAAATTTTCTAGCTCATATGATTGCAAACTCATATTCGCCAGAAAAGTTTTTTTCGGCCTAGTGACGAAATATACTATTTGTCATTCGAAATTCACTAGCTATCGACTTCCTATGAAGTCGATTCATCTTCGATTCCATCAATAATCTGAGATCTGAATCTAACTACACTCGCATACGAATCGATATACTGATCAACTCGATTCCACAATCGACAAATCTGCTAGGGTCACGTGTTTGTGGACGCGGCAGAAGAAACGGCTGCTCATGCTTTGAAAATAAAACCCAAGCACGTGTATGAAATATTTTTTTCAAAAATACGAACAATATTTTGAATCATCTGCGCGATCATTTCCATCTAAAAAACAGCCTGATTCCCAGTTACCATTCCCACAAACGGGAATGGAATGGTTTTAAGGGTGCCAAGTGAATTTGAAAAAAGATTCAAAAAAATTTTTTTCTTTCCCTCCATCATTGGAGAAATATGTATTCATCCATCCGACGAAATTTCAAACCCGCAACCAGAACTAGACATGGAGAAAATGAATGCGGAAAATCCTCGAGAAAGCATGGGATCAAATGGGTACGGCGGGTTGAAATATCTCTCTTATTCACCCCGGTACCC